CCCCACCCTCTTGGCCCCTTGATAGATTATAGATTGTTATTGTTTTCATATCTCACACCAACTGCTGTCCCCCTTCCCCTCTGGTTTCTGTTGTTCTTCCCCCTGGATGGGTGTGGTTATGTGCCATTCATGGCGATTGGTACCCCCTTGCTCCCCACCTCTCCTCCCTCTTCCCCTTACCCTTTTGATATCGCTATTCCCGTTCCTGTTCTTAGGTTCCGTGTGTCGTAAGCTTTATCTCTTGCCTGTACCTAGGTACCTTCTCCCATCCAGTCCAGAGTGGGAAGCAGCACTGGGGTCATAATAGTGGGGGGTGAGGAGGCCTCAAGGGATCAGAGGTATATTGCATGATTCATCAATGCTCTACTGCACCTTGATGACTTCCCCCCTTCCTGGGACCCCTGTGGGGTGGGGGGGGAATGTTCCGGTGTCCACAGATGGGCTTTGGGACTCTGCTCCAACTCCCCTCATTCTCACCAATGTATGTTTTTGTTGTTATTGTTTGTTGTTTGTTGTGAATATTTTGATGCCCGTTCTCCGGTCCCGATGACACCTCCCCATACTTTTATAGGCCCCCAAAATCTTTGTTTTGCTTTCATTTTGTTTCTTTTGTAAACTAAATTTATTGAGGCATAGTTTATCTATAACAAAATTCATTTCCCTGCCCTTATTATTATGGTAAGAGTTGATTATATTATTATCTGAACTGGTGTGTATCCCTATAATCTATACATTTAGAATGTATAAATATTTAATCATATATGGAAGCTCTGCATTGGGTTGCTAACCTCAAGGTCAGCAATTCTATACCACTAGTCATTCTTCAGAATAAATATGAGGCTTTCTACTCCTGTAAAGAGTTGCAGTCCACATATGGATTAAGCCTCTGGTGACTCCCTTCTCACCATAGACCAGAGAGGTGAATATTCTTGTTGGCATGCCGAAAGCAGTGGGGGTTTTGTTTTGTTTTGTTTTTTTATATGATAGGTTAATCAATAAAGACTGTAACTGCATTGATGGTTTTCTGGGGGGTATGAAAAGAGAGGTTGGGAAGAAATGAACCAATAACAATGAGTACAAAGAAGAAGAAGATGTTCTAAAATTGACTGTGGAGATAACTGAATAATTCTTTTTTAATATGATTGACTATTGCATTGTATGATATGTGAATTATATGCCAATAAAACCATTCAGAAAAATAAAATAAGTATCAACTATTCTTAAACATTTTTTTAAAAGAGACAGTCTTGGAAACCCATAGTCGCAGTTCTACTCTGTCCTATATGGTAGTGTCACGATTCAGAATCAACTCTGTGGCAGTGAGATATAGGTATACATATTCTTTCATAATGTCTTTATTCTCTTTAGAACATAGGTTTTGTTTGTTTGTTTCAGACCCACGTGATGACTCTGAATATCAGTGACCAGTCATTGAAATTATCACCAGTTCAGAAACAAAAGGTATAATATGAAGAGCTATTATCATTATAATGGTGGGTAAGAACAGTTTAAATTCTTTCTATTTTTCTTGGAAGATTTATGGAGGAAGATATGCAAGGTGAGCATTCACTTTAGAATCTAAAAGACAGAGCAAAGCAATGGAGATAGGGTCCATGCTGACTTGTTCCGTTGGTATGTTTTTTTCTGTGCTGTGACAAGAATAAGGGTATTTCATTGCTGACATTTGTTCTTTAAGGTCATCCACTTTAAGTTATAAAAGTCAGATGTCCTTGCCTGCAAGGCAGTTGACTAGGATTGCAATTCTTAGGGAGAGGCAGAGGTTACTGGTTATCAGAGTGGTGCTCTGACTTTGGTGAGTTTCTCCCCTGACTTTACGGAATGATCCTAATGTATTTCCTTCTCAACGTTTTTGTAATTTATGGAAAAGGACTTGCTATTTTGCTTTTCCAATGTTGGTGGATTAGGCTTTAGTTTATCTAGAATAAATTTATCTAGAAGACAAAAACAAGATTAAAATACATAAGAAAGGAAATTGCCCTGAGGTGGCTCCTGGGTGATGAGAAAGAGACCTTGCATGAATGACAAGTGGAAAGCAAGAGGAAAGAATGGTATGTGGTTTCTACAACCCTGGAGAGCGAAGTGCCTACCATGAATTTCTGAGCCTTTTCTTGACTTTAGGGACTAGTGAGATGAAATGATGAGGGGCTAGAAGATTAGGTAAAGGAATCAGAGAAATGCAAATTGAAGGAAGAAACTCATAGAAAACATTTCATTTTTATTTCTCGTACTTTTGCCACATTGTTCAGTCGAAAATTCTTAAATTTAAAGCCACAGAAATACCAAACCTTGCTAAAGCAGAAACATGTAGAGAAAATGAGAATTTGTTTTATTAAGAGGCATTAGTGAATAACAGCCCCCTTTGGTACTGAGTGACTGACTGACAATATTTCCAAGAAGACATGTTTTCATGTTTTCTGTCTACTATCTTTTAGACTAGGGCCTCTGCTTCTTCCATGCTGCTTTTATTGTGCTAGAGAAAGAAGGACAAGTCATACACTGAGAAATCAGAAATGAAGGCAATTGGGCCTGCCTTTCTGAAGGCGCTTGGAAGAATTGTAACTTTTTGAAAAACAGGTCCTAAAAGAAACAGAAAACTGTTGTCCAAAAGAAAGCATTTCCTTTTAAACATCTTATATTTCATGTAATACTTTTAACTAGAGGCCCTCTGAGGCCTAGTTTAGTAAACAGCAAAACACATATACAAGGGGGTACCCCAAAATACAGATTTCCCCCCAAAACTATGTATTTAAAATTTCTTTTTACAAAACAACCTTCTCATCTTCACAGTACTCTCCTTTACATTTAATACATTTGTCAAATCTGCCATTCCATTCTGGGAAACATTTTTCAAACTCATCTGTTTGGATGTCTGACAGCACCTCCCTTGTTTTTTTCTTCACCTCTTCTATATTGTCACATTGCTGTCCTTGCATGTCCCTCTGCATTTTCAAAAACAAAAAGAATTGTTCTGAGCAAGGTTAGGTGAATAAGGTGCTTGGGGCAAGAGAGCATGCACTTTTTTTGCCCAAAACTGGGGCACTTAGATGGTTGCATGAGCAGGTGCATTGTCATGGTGGCAAAACCAGTCCTCTGTCTGCCACAATTCAGGCCTTTTTTGCCACACACTGTTATGCAATCTTTTGAGAACCTCTAAATAGAAAGCTTGATTAAGAATCTGACCTTGTGGAATGAACTCCAAATGAACTATCCCCCTCATATCAAAATAACAAATGAGCATTTTCTTGATATTTGATTTTACTTGATGAGCTTTTTGGGGAGTGAGGTGAAGATGGCATATTCCACTGGCTTAATTGATGTTTGCTTTTGGGGCCATAATAACAGCACCATGTCTCGTCACCAGTAATGACCTTGGAAAAAGAAGTCTGGGTCACTTCAGAGCTATTCTTTCAAAGCCTGGCATGTTTCACTAGACAGTCTTTTCCCTGGTCAATCAGATCATGAGGAACAAATTTGGCAGTGACCCTACTCATTCCCAAATTTTCAGTTAAAATTTGCTGAACCGAGCTCCAAGATAGTCCAGATAACTTCCCCATCTCTTCAATGGTCTGTCATCGGTCTTCGAGCACAAGTGCACAAATTTTGTCGACAGACGTTTTTATCTGTTCAGGAAGTTGATGGATGTCTAGGACGAGGTTTGTCATCACTCAACATTTCACCTTTTTTGAATAGAGAAAACCACTCATACACTTGAGTTTTTCTCATAGTGCTGTCCTTGTAAGCTGTATTCAGCATCAAATCAGTTCCTGTACCGTATTTCCCGAGTAGAAAACAAAATTTTACAGCCGCACACTGTTCTCTTAAATCAGCCATCACAAAAATCAAGGTTAGAGTTAAACTGCTTGTATAAAAAAATAGAACCTTCTCAGGTGACAACACTAGGTGTACTAACTCAGAGCGAGTTGCTCAATGTTCTCCTAGCACAAAAAATCTGTACTAGGAAAGCTCTGCCCAGTGGAGCTATTTTTCCGGGGTTTGTTTGTTTGTTTGTGTATCCCCTTGTACATATTGCCTAGTTAGTTTTTTAGCAAAAATAAGTAAATAAAAAAGTAAACTTCTTCCTAAGCCAGTCACTCATCACAGTTTATGAAATTTGGTCAAATGTTTTACTGATCAGAGACCCAAATTCATTGAATATTTGAATCTATTAGCATGTATAATTTGTGTCAGCAATGGAATTTCATCTTATTTTTTTCCATAAGAAATTAATTTCACATTTCTAATGTATTAGCCAAATCTCCATGCTTTATTCCAAAGTGGTTGCTTTTGAACTAAAAATTTTGTTTGTAAGTTTTTTCATTTATGCAAATTGTGACAATGAAAGGCTGTATAGTACATAAAAATGAAGAGAGTAAAAAATTGAAACCCCATATCAGATTTTATTTTTTAATTAAAAAATTTTATACCATGAGATTTCTTTTAGCGTTTTTCTTCTAGAATTAAGCTTACCTTTTAAAAAAGTTCTTAAGTTTTTACATTGAAGATTTTTTTTCTTTAACTTTTTAAAATTTCATGGAATCAATTATGTTCATGAAAAAAAATCAAAATGTGATCATGAAAAATTACAGGAAATGTATAAAACTGTAAACTGAATGCAAGAAAAGCTTAAGTTTCTTAGACAAGGTCTTTTGAATTCAATCTGGAATTTATTATATTTAAAGATTGTTCCAGGTTAAGAAAAAAATAAGAGTAAATATTGACAGTACTGTGATGAATGGCAAAATAAGGCAGGTAGTAGGAATTTTATACATGTTAATAAATCAGAATTAGATGAAGTACAGGCTTAGGTTGGCAGAAATTGGCCCCTATGGGGGGGAAAGCGAACACACTGTCTGGTAACACTGGACATGTTTCTAGTAAAACCTAGAAACATGTATAATTTTGGCAGTCTTTTAAAGTAGATAAGTTATCTTTGTCAGCTAATAGTAGTATGACGGTTGCTTCAAAACATTTGCAGAAACAAGATACAATTGAGAAACTGGAGAAAGATGCAGCTCATACGGAAAATGATGATGATAGTAATGAATCTGAATCTGAAGAGCTTTCCGAAAAGGGGACAGAAGGGACAGTATGTCAACAGCATTTGGCAAAAGGGATTTTTATGGAAACAACAGTGACTACCAACACATGTTCAGATAAAGTCTTAGGTACTGGCTCAGGTCAGTCTAAGCCTGAAGCCAAAACTTGTGAAGAGAGTTTGTTAAAAAAGATACTCGCGTATGACGAGAATGATGATGTTTGTTGTCCACTTGATGATGAGGAAATAATAGCAGGCGGAAATAGAGGACATGGTCAGAAGGATTCAGATAAAGAAGAAATTGACTCTGAGAAGGAAACTGAGCTGACAGAAATGAAGGATATAGAAAGCTCGGAGAATCCAAAAAGTAGCCTTACCTTTCTTGAGCCCTTAGAAACTGCAGACTTGTGTAAGGAGGATGAAGAAACTGATGATATGGTTGAGGGACCAGAAAGAGAAAGTCAAGATGTGATATTTGACAGCAAAAGAGAATCTATTGGTCAAGATAGTTACATGGAAAGCAAAAGTGAAGATTCCAAGGGTACACCTGAAGAATTAGAGCAGCTGGAATCCGTAGAGTTTAGTCACGGAGAGGAAGAGGTTTACGCATTGAAGCATGAACACCAATTGTGGTATAGAAGAAGTTTTATTGAACAAAGAAATGAGAGAGAGACTGAATTCAGAATATCCAATTTCATGACAAAATTTAATTGTAAGTCTAACCACTTGTCAGAGATCCCAGAGGAACAAGAAGTTACAGATTCAGATGAAAGTTCATTAGAGGAGGAAGAGAGAGAGGAAAATCAGCAAGATGAGGCAGTTTTTGGACAAAGAAAGGAGGTGGAAGCAGATGTGTCAGATGATCATCTTACAGACATAGATGAGGTGAGTGAAGGCAATAACAAGTCAGGGGAAAAGACCAGAACCATGCCTTATGGTGGGTGGCGTGGAATCTGTAAGAGGGATCATTCAGAAACAGAAAAAAGGATATGTGAGGAAAGGGAGGAGGAGGAGGAAGACAAGGGAGGAGTAGTTAGAGAACAAGAGCACTTGGGTAAAGGAGAGAAGGACCTAGAAAAGGAGGTAGAATGGGAGAAAGGGAATAAGGAAAAATGGGAAGGAGAGGAAAGGGAAGGCCATCAGGAGGAAAGAGGAAAAGATAGGAAGAAAGGAGAAGGGCAAGATCAAAGAAAGGGAGAAGGAGAGGAAGATGGTGAGGGAGAACATGCAGAAAGGGAAGAAGAGGAAGGTGAAGAGGAAGAGCAAGGGGGAAAAGGAGAGGGGGGAAAGGAGGAGCAAGAAGCTGTGGGAGGAAGCAGAAAAGAGGGGGAGGGTGAAGAGGAAGAACAAGGAGAAGAGGGGGAAGGACATGAGGAGGTGGGAGAGGACAAGGAGGAAGGAGAAATTGAAGAAGAGGAAGAAGAAGAAGAGGAAGGAGAAGGGAATGATGAAGGGGAAGAGGAGGAAGGGGAGGAAGAAGAGGAAGGAGAAGGGAATGATGAAGGGGAAGAGGAGGAAGGTGAGGAAGAAGAGGAAGAGGAAGGAGAAGGGAATGATGAAGGGGAAGAGGAGGAAGGGGAGGAAGAGGAAGGAGAAGGGAATGATGAAGGGGAAGAGGAGGAAGGGGAGGAAGAGGAAAGGAAGGAGGGGGGAGAAGGGGAGCAAAAGAGAAGAAAGGGGGTGGGAAGGAGAAAAGGAGGAAGAAGAGAACAGTGAGGAAGAAGAGGGGACATAACAGGACGCAGGGGGTGAGGAGAATGAAGGACAGGAAGGGCAAGCTGAAGAAGAGGCAAAAGGTGAGCAACATGAAAGGATCTAAGAAATATGACAAAGAGCATACAGTAAATGATGTATTACTAATGCAGAGGGAAAGGGGAAAGGGCAGGAACTTCAGAGGTCCAAAACGTTAGGGCAGTCAACACAGCTGGCAGAAAATGAACCACTAGGTTCCAGGAATTCCAGGTAATTCTAGAATATTATATTACCTGGTTATCCTGAACTGAAGTAACAGACTTGAAATATGACCTGATTGTGCCCAGCTAAAATTTTGAATGCTTTGTATTTAATAGTTGGTTAGTATTTTTTTTCTTTCATTGATCTTATGTTATGGTTTTGTTATATGTGGTCCAATAAAGACCAAAGATAACATGAGGTCCTGATCTATTTCAGCTCCTCTTAGATTACTGTCTTGGTCTCTTCTCTTCCCCTAAAATTATAAATATTAAGAAAATGACAAAAGTCCTATTAGATCAGTAACATTATATATTTCTCACTAAAGATAGATTTAAGAACTTAGAATCTATAGGAGTGATTCTTTGCGTATGTAAAGTTTGAAAATGGCAAAGATCCTCAAGGGATATAAAAATGTCTCATTTCGTACCAATATCAGCACAGTTTTCTTTCAGGCATGGCGTAATTGTATGAGCATCAGGTGGTATTCTGAAACTAAAAGGATGGCACATTTTAAAGAACTAATACTGCTCTTTCACGCTTTCTTTAAATAGCTACAAGATGACAGGCATGTGCAGAGTTTAGTTCTTTTAATTAAGGTGTAGGGATATGGTCTTATATCTAATATGATGGAGGCAGTAACTTCACCTTGGAAGTATGTAAAACATTTTCCCTATTCAAGCAAAGCTCCTCATTGGGCCTCAGTTTCCTTATTTGTAAAATGGAGTAGCTAGATGAGATGTTGACTAAAGTCCCTGAGAACTCTTTATTTCTTTCTAACAGTCTGGTTTATTCTCTCATTTTGTTTTTTTGCATATGGAATTTTTTTAAAGCAGAAAAATTGGACCTTAAAATTAAAAAGCTTTCTATAAAGTATTCTTTCCTTTGAAAAGAAATGGAAATCTCTTGCAACCTGTCACAACTTAATACTTCTAAAATTTCCACAATTTTACTGTACTGTCAGAACCTTGATTTCCAGTATCTAGGATGTATTTATTGACTTTTATGTTCTTCTGTTTGCCTACTGCTTGTCAGAATATTTCAAGTAAAATAAAAATGAAATGTACACAGTCAGGAATTGTTTGTGAAAAGAGAAGCTAATATTTGATGTTGAATACTAGTGAGGCTCAATTTCCACTTAAGCCATTTCAATCTTCCCTTAAAATGTCCAGTATATTTACCACAGCTGATTTTTCAGTTTATTCATAGCTCTGTTCTCAACCTGATTATCCTTCTCCTGGCTCTGATAGGTTGCTCAGACTTTCTTTTATCAAGGAAGCTATTGATGGTAAACTTCCTGGGAATTTGCTGCAGAATTCCTTACACTTGGCAGAACAATTATGAGGAGGAGTACTAGAGTAGTTAAACATGAAGAAACTCCTAGGAGCAGTTGTCAATTTTACCTTGACACCTGGATCACAAGTAACTTATTTAAAGTACACACACTAACCAATTATGCTGATTTGCCATTTCAATGGTCTGCCCAGTTCTGCTGCATGCATCGAGTATAGAATCGAGTCAATGCCGTGATCTAGTGGATGTGCTGTGCTATTATTTCTAGCATCATATATAGTGATTTAAAAAGTGGACTTCATATGATTCAGTAAGAAGGGTGAGGATTGGAGCTCATCAATGAAAAAATGTTCAGGAAGATGAGACATACTGAAACTCAGGTTATTAATTTTAAAGGCGTGAGCATTCTTCTACTGAGGACATAATCAGCCAACAATACTGAAATGGTGCTCTGCACTGGGTCTATCTCAGGATTCAAACTGGTGCCAGCATCCATTTCTAAATAGCATTTCTTACCTGTGTTTTTCACAGTTCCCTGGCCTAAATGGCATTCATGTAAAGCAGGGTGTCCTGGTCAACAGGGTAGTGGCCTGACTGGAACGCTTTGTACTTTTGAGCTGAATTTGGGCCAGTTTCTTTGCCTCGCCACGTGTGTCTTTTCTCTGGACAAGCATAGACTAAGTGACTCTGTAGTAAATGCCGTGGTTATCAGGTTCATAACCCACTAGAACAGAGCCAGACCCAGGTTTCCTGGTATTCCTCTTCTGCAATGAAAAATCTAGAATCTGGTCACCAAAATTGCTTAATCTTCAAGCTAAATAGCAGGTTCACTAAACTAAGCAGTTAGACTAAACTAAGGTATGGTGCCTCTTGGGAATACATGGAACAGGGCTTAACACTGGTTAGTGGTGAGTGAGGTGGGGAAGAATGGAAGAGCAAGATCTTGTTAGACTTCCATAAACAGGAGTTATTTGCATATTTGGAAACCTTATATGTACATGGGGTCTTTAAACATTTCCTGGACAGTTGGCATTGTCTTTTAATGTCATTTTTCACCGACTGTTTGAAGCCCTCTCATATTAGAAAAAAGAAAACCCCAACCCACTGCCACCGAGTCCATTCCAACTGATATTGGACAGGGTAGAATTGCTCCTTAGAGTGTCTGACACCTCTGTGGGAACTGACCACCTCATCATTTGCCCAGTATGGCTGGTGGGTTTGACCCGACAAGCTTGCAGTTAGTAGTCAATACCTACCCCCACAGCACCACCAGCGCCCCTTAGATAAAGAGAATGAAGCATAAGAATTTGACTACTCAGCCCTTATGAATGAATCCTTGGTTAGATAGATGAAAATAACTGGTTCCTTCATTGTCCTCACCTGCTGGTTATCAAGCGCTTACCCTAGCTAATCACTGGTCATTACCGAGGGGAAGCATGAGTCCCTTGTGTAGCAAGCCATTGAATTACAGCAGCGGTTCTCAACCTGTGGGTTGCGACCCCTTTGGAGGTCGAATGACCCTTTCACAGGGCTTTCCCAATTTATAACAGTAGCAAAATGACAGTTATGAAGTAGCGATGAAAATGATTTTAAGATTGGGGGTCATCACAACATGAGGGACTGTATGAAAGGGTGGCAGCATGAGGAAGGTTGAGAAAAACGGTTACCTGAGGACTCTGGCAGAAGAACCCTTTCAGGTAAGCCACCACAGGAGTGCCACAGGAACATCTGCTGCTGAAAGCAGCACTTGAGGTAAGTGTGACGGAAATCTTTTTGATTATCTGGCTATAGAGAGAAACTTGCTTTATGAGGGAATCTTCAAAACGTTTGTGGAGAAATGTCATCATCATTTCATTCCATTTGTCCATGAATCTTTGGAAGCCCCCTCACACACATATATAGCTCCACAAGTAAAATGCTACCTTGGAGTTGAGGAAAGACAAGCCAATCCACTGCCATCACGTTGACTCTGACTCTCAGCAACCCTGTAGGATTGAGTCAAACTGCTCCCTCAGATTTCTGGGGCTGTAAATCATTACGGGCATTTTTTTTCTCAGATCATATAGCGGGTTCAAACTGCTGACCTTGTGGTTAGCAGCCCAGTGCATGCCACCAGGGCTCCTGGGAGTTGGGAAAGGTACTGTGCCATTCCTTTCTTAAATTCTTTCAATTGGGAAAATTCAGTATGATTTTCTTAAGTTGAATACCTGACACTCGTGTAGCGGAGTATTCGGCCAGGGCTTACCTGGGTGGAAACAGCACTATCTACCAAGGTTGACAATAGATTTCTTAAAACAAAACCAGCTCAAACAATACTGCCAGGCTGCCTTAACTCTGGCTCCGCAGTGCCAGCTTGTTTGCCGGCCCCCTGTGTTCTTATAGAGGACTGCCACACAATGTGGGCAGGGGATCTGAAAACAAATCTATGACTGTCTTCCATTAGTCCTTTTAAGAAAATGCCACCCACTCCTGCCCCTTGGGCATGCAGATAGTAAGGTAGGGATCCCTGATTTCAAAATCGCTGGGGCTCTTTATATAGAGTGACCAGATAATGTATATGTAGGAGTAGCCATTTAGCTACAGTAATGGGACTTCCAAGGAGAACTTAGCCAGCCAAAGAATTGACTGATGGGAGCCATGAG